ATACTTCTAACCTTAATTCTCCTAGAAAAGGTGATGGCACGGAGGTTTAAACTCATTACTTGAATGTGATTTTTCCATCAACTGCCCTGTATGTGCTTCATCTTTTCCTCCCCCTTTTGCTAATTTGTCTTGATTGTTTCTAACGAGCACGACAATTGCTCCTAATTCAAAACGTGTTCAATATAGATGAAAATACTCACCGGTTTCATCAAATTCGGTCGAGTTACGCGACGTCTTAGAGGGTTGCTCGTTGGCAAAGCAGGTGTGGTCGTGACAGCGACAAGGGCAGGGGTGGCAGCAGGTGTCGATGTGGCAGTAGGTCTTGTATGACGAGCTGCAGCAGACTGTGAATCACGCGAAAACCATTGCATATTTCCATTTTCCATTGATGCAGGGGACGGATTTCCACTGACAAATGCTATGAAGCGGACGGGCGCTTTTGTGATAGCAAACTTTGGCAGAGCAGTGATACCGGGTGTGCGAGGCGAGGTGGGTGTGAAAATAAACGGTGCAGTTGGATTAAGAGTAGTGCTCCAGCCTGTTGTCTGTAGTGTCGTCGTCAACGATGGTGGAGGAAGTGTCGAGGTTGTCGTCGTAGTTGTGGGGGGCGCAGAAGCATCTACTGTGCTGGCAATTTTAGGTGCTGTGGTGTTCTAATACTAGGAGTCTATCTTACAACTACTAAGAGCAGCATGAATTACTACGGAAGGTGTCGGGCAGTTTCTCCATGTGAGCAATTTTTTAGCAGTAGAGCATGCTTTGTAACTGTTATCATTATCAGCCTATCAGTTACTCATTGCTCATTTGCTAATAAATTGCTCGCTGGTGAGGGGTACCCGTAAACGTCCACATATCTGTGGTATGCTGGTAAGTATAGACCTCTAAATTCACATACCTCGTTTAAGGTTGAGGACAGCTTCGATAACCACTTTGATACCTGCCCACGTTTCACGTCCTGTTGGAATCAGCTGACGAGAGTCAAGTATGAATCCATCCCATACTTAAGAAAAACATTTACATACTTTGACTTCAAAAAGATCATTCGACAAAACCTTCTTCGCCTGGACGGAGCTCCATTAAATAGACATACTTTGCTCCACCTTTTCCTTTTGCCCAATCGTCAGAACCACCAGAGGAAGGATCTGGAAGCAGAACTATTGATATCAATATATTCAGGCGTAAGAAACATTATTTAGATGAGCAGGACATCAGATAGTGGAATTACAATCAATAGCCGTTCTCACATAAAATGTCGGCTCCAGTTCCAAAACGATACTTTGTCCCATAGACACTTTCCAATGCACTTATGGCTCGTCTACCAACTTGTTCCTAAACAATGTTCTCATAATTTTTCCCCTTTCTCTTAAGAATAGTAAAAAAAAATTGGAATTTATTCTTGGTACCTTTCACAGTTGTCAAAACTAATAGTTGGACCAAATCTTTCAAATTTTACTGGGTTATGCCATTAAGAAAATTCTGATAGGCTTAACTACCTATGAGTGCGCGACCTTCAATAATGCGAGAGCCGCACATTCTATGGAAGCGCTGCGAATGCGCCCCTTACGAATGCTTTTTTGGTATTTACATGGTATTTCCAGCGCTAACTCCGCTCAGATAAGAGTAGTCGGGAAATTTTGGTTAAATAGCAAGAAATGGTACGTCATTTGAATTCAGATTATAGCACTTTTCTAAGAAATGCACTGAAACTGAAATTATATAATAGTAATTATTGTTGTATTATACTACTACCATTTTTTTCTTTTTGAAAGACCTTAAAATGAAAAGAATTCTAGAATGGTGTGCCAAGAGATATGAAAAAATAGGGTTAAACTTGCAACTTGTCAGATTTCAGGACAATTTTATGCTCCATTTGTGCGTAAAACGCTAAATGTTAACATATCCCCGCACTTGCGCTGTTAGGGTGCGGAAGGATAACGCGTCTAGTAGGACGGCTAAAAGTCAATCAAGATTCTTTAACTTTAAATAACAATTTCTTCACGTTATTAGGACATAGACTAGAGAAAGGGTATAGGATGTACTAACAATGTCGTTGATGTCCTCGGGCACTGTTTTTCTTTGATGACTGAACGGATGAATCCACATCTGAAAAATGATTCGCTTAAATGAAACAAACATTGAGTTAATCCTGCAAATTTCATTTACTTCTTTCTGCTTATTCTAGAAGTAAGAAAAGAAAAGTCTACCTGCGAGTAAGTGTGAAGAGTTAGGAAAGCGTCAACCTTCCCCCGTAAGTCCGGGGAAAACATTGCGTCTCGGACTGCCCTGAAAACGTGACCTTTCTTTAAAATAAGGCTATAAGAGGTCTCAAAAAATGTTTTAAACCATCGTTTATAATAAGATACATTGGAAATCACATACCTTGCTTCAGCTTCACTGAAAGGACTTTTTCCCTGATAAATTTCGGAACATCTGTCAGAACTGGATCCAACCTCTGTAAAACACTAGTTAGGAAGGACTTGAAAACAATCAATTTATTTCTGAATGCTTCACGAGGAGCATGGAAGCCTTAAATGGCTACAGCAGAGCGATTTTTTCTCCGTAATATGACAAGCTATGTTTCCAGTGCGAAAGGTGAACTTCGCTCTGAATGTCCGTACTCTCCAGACTATTTAAGCAAATTAATCGCATTTGCATTCGTATTTTCAGATGTTAGACTTATGTTCTCATATAAAGACTCTAAGCTTATTTATAAGTTTGCCTCACAAAAGTATGCTTTCCAACTATGTTTATGGATGCTAAAACTTGAAATTTCATCTTGCTAAAAAAGCCAAACTAAACTAAAGCAAATAAGAATTTCTCAAGGCAGAGAAGCAGCTTGTTTCTATAGAATTTTTGTTCATGTGGAGCGTTTTTACTATACAACTGCCGTAAGGAACGCATTCAATGTTGGACCATGTTTAAGAACACTTTTTATTGCAAATAAACACCTAGGACTAGTGTTGTTTGCTTAATTAACAACCTCGTCTAGGATGCTCTGTAGAGTCACTTCTTAAGTCTTCTTCGTCTCACGATTGACAATATCGCGTAGCGGCAAGCATTCAATTTGAATAAACATCTCCCTTTATGGAGGTTGCCTGTGCAAGAAAAAAAAATCTATTCTCATCAGCGAAGGAAGTATTGATCTCTAAGATAATGAAGCCTTCCGTCGCATTCGAGTTAGTGGGTTTGTACTAAGCACTAATTTAAAGATCAGCCAGATTCCCTCAAGTTACTGTTATGGCACTAGGAA